TAGATTCTCTAGGGAGTGAGATGGGGAGCCGATTAAAGGTGAGTAAAAAGATACTGGGCAGTAGAGAAAACGGTGAAGGATGGAGTGGATGGAGTAGGTGCTCAGTCACTCAGTCATGTCCGGCTCTTGCCACCCCATAGACTGTAGCCTGCCAGGCTCCTCTGTCCACTGGCTTCTCCAGGCAGGAATACTGGAGTGGGTTGCCATACCCTCCTCCAGGGGATCTTCCTGATCCAAAGATCAAATCCACGTCTCTTACATCTCCTGCATTGGCAGGCGGGTTCTTTACCACTAGCACCACCTGGGAAGCCCTGAGATCAGGGGGTATAGCTGCAATTCACAGAAACGACTTCATCTGTTTTAAACAAACACAGATTTCAGACAGGCGTGTGCTTACACAGCTTTTTAAAAGAATGAAGCATTAGACTATACACTGAACTTCTGGGAACAACTCCCAGAATTAGTGCCGAAAATAAGTTTGCCAGAAAAGTCGTGAGCTGTATCCCAGGAGGAGAATAAGGAAGACACTGGTGAAACCACAGACTTCAGGAATATACCATTCTTAGCAACAGCTGTTGGCTGTAAGAAAGTTCCACTCCTCTTGGGTTCACACCAACAGAGAATAACCGAGCCACACCTCCGCCTCACAGCCAGGACCTGAACTGCAGGAGAACCTGAGAAATGTACTTTTCAGCATCGCAGGTTGTGTAGTAGAGGAAGGAGCATTAGAAGGAAACCAAGTTTCAAGCTATTGCAGATATACATATCTATATATATTTACTTGATATGTAATATATATAATAAATTATAATAATATCTGACTCTTTGTGACGACATGGACTGTATTTCGCCAGTTTCCTCTGTCCGTGGGATTCTCCAGGCAAGAACACTGGAGGGGGTGGCCGTGCCCTCCACCAGGGGATCTTCCCAACCCCGGGATGGAAGATCTCCTTCATCTCCTGCACTGGCAGGTAAATTCTTTACCACTAGAGTCACTGGGAGGTCCCTAAATTACAATTTAAAGAGAAAGTAGCCTATTCTCTTATTGCCAGTCAATCATCAGCCTATTGGCAAAAGTGCAGAAAACAGGACGAGTTAAATTTGATAAGGGAAGGCAAGGGAGCAGAGATCACCGTGGCTAGCATGGTTACTATAGAAATGACTGATCCTGTGGTCCAGACTAGACAGTGCAGTCCAGGAGAAACCAATGGACTATGAATACAGGAATACGTCAGATAAGCACAAGGCTGACAACACCTTCTTGGCCTTACCCTTGACAAGCAAAGAAGGGGTGTGATAAGCACATGGTATCACTAAGTATCATAATAATTCGGCCACCTGGTGCAAAGAGCTGACTCGTCAGAAAAGACCCTGATGCTGGGGAAGATTGAAGGCAAAAGGAGAAGGCGAAGGCGGAGGATGAGATGGTTGGACAGCATCACTGACTTAATGGACATAAATCTGAGCAAACTCCAAGAGACAGTGAAGGACAGGGAAGCCTAGAGTGCTCCAGTCCACGGGGTCGCATGACTTAGCAACTGAACAACAGCAACAGAACATATAGAATCTGTATTTTGAAGAGGAGAGATCTTAAGGCTTCAAATAAAGCTTGATGGTCATAATACTCGAGCAATTTCATGTCTTAAGTGCATATCAGGAAAATCTAGTCAAAGCACCAAATTATTACATCTTCCAGAGCGCATGTTAGTTGAACTCTTATATTGATGATCTACATAGGCATATAAAGGAGAGAACGGTAGACAGAGACAATGACACATACTTAGGTACAAATATTAAAATTCTCTGATTGACTCGCTCATTTCTATACATACAAGATTTACAGGCAAATCATGGACAATATGCAAAATTTCAAGAAAGGATAAAGTGCTTAAATGTGTTTGCTATCATTACTGTCACAATGTCCTTCTACTGCATTAAAGAGAAACAGAATGAATGCCTACATGGACTCTATCATGTTTTATGCACTCAGGTCATATTTATACAGCTAAGGAGTGTTTATAATCTTTTCGGGCAGTCCATTAGCATTTCTCCTTAGGTTTTTTTGTTTCCTACAAAAGGCATGCTGTTTTGTTTCTAATTCATCTGGGGATGGGGAAGGAAGGAAGCTTCAAATTCTTTAGATTGGAAAGATTTGACATGGGCTGTAGGTCTCCACTTCCTGGTAGCTTCTCAGCAGATGCCTCAGCCATGACTTCATTGAATTCCAGTTGTATGTCTGCAAATCTCTCCTTTTGTAAGAATTCCCTTTATCTCTGCAAAGAGGCAGTGAAGTTTGCTTTCCGCAAGGCTTCTTTGATTTCCTCCCAGGGTCTCCAAACATCAACGAAGCACTCTAGGGCAGTCCCATGTGACTCTCAAACAAAATAAAGAAGAATATGCAGTGAAAATCAGAATGGAGTCACTGTATCTTCCTTCCCAACATCTTCTTAAAGGTCTATTGCATGATTAAAAGTTTGCTGCATGATTATATGTGGGAAACTGCTCTAAAGCCTTGGAACATTGGAAAATTCATACTGGAAAGAAAATAATTCTAATTTGGGTAACAGAAAAATTAATATGCACATTTAAAAAATACTGGAATGCAACTCCTCTGGTGAGGAGTACAATGAATGTATAAAGTACAAAGAAAAAAGATGACAATGAATCCTTAAAGAATGACATCTTTTTTAAAAAGCGGTCACAAGCAAGGACTAGAAATAAATGCTGTCTTTAGAGGTTCATAGGTTTGTGAAATCCTTGTGGGATGGAATTGTCCAACCAAAATCTATTACAGAAGCATGGATCTCTTAGGCACCTATAAATATTTGTCAGTGAGGATGGTTAATAGACAAACCATCTGGTGCCCCTGATCTTCACAATTCAATAAGGTCTGTATTGTTATTGCTCAAGAGATTTCTGTTGCATAAACCGACACTCAGTGTATATTCTGATGGAAAAGGAAGGTCTAAGCCAACTCTGAGAGCATTTAAGTGTGTGTGTGTGTGTGTGTGTGTGTGTGTATGTGTGAGGGGAACAAGGAAACTTGTCTCCTTTGACAAATTCACAGTCCTTGGTTAACTTCTCATTAGCAGTCTGCTCACATCTCATTCCCATTAAGAGTATTCCGTTTTCTTTGTCTAAAGTGTTGAGTGGTTATGAATAGTAAGGATAGACTATCTGTAATTATTTTTTAATTATTAATGGTTTTGTTAGATCCTTTCACTTTTACATTACATTTCTGTTAATGTAAGTTAAATCAAAATGTGCTTCAGTTTCCAAGCTGTTCCCCAATGTATTTTTCATTCTTTCATAACAATACTTCAGATTTCTATAAGATGTCTGTGAGAAAGCTTGTCTTTCTGGAAACACCCTCCCCACGCTAATAGATTCAGGGACCGTTCTGTTCTGCAAATCCACTAGCCATAGCTTTAGTAATCATGAAATTTCTAAATTCCCAATAGGACTCAACGTCAGAATCACAATACGTACAAAAGTCATTTGATATTAGCCAGTATGTTTAAGCTGAACACAGGAGCATCATCTCCATTCATAACCCCCTCCCATGAAGATCTTTTGGCACTTTATGAATACGAAGATTCTCAATTAACTGGCAACCAAAGGAGAAAATGAATGAGTCTGAAAGGAACAGATATCAGAGGCAGAAACTAATGTACTGGGTTTGTGGTCTGGCTATACACCTTGAAGAGTAGTGTGGTAGGAACAAATATTCAAGTAGTGTGCCTTAGGAAGATAATGAGAGAGACAGAGAGAGAGGGAGGGAGGAAGAGGGAGAATTTCCCTGGAGAGAAGGGAAAAGTCTACCTTTTAATCAATTTTTCCATCACCAGCAGATTGGCACTTTCTGATGGGGCACTGTTCCTTCACAGAAATGTTCCTGCCTTGTATTTACTAAGGGTCCTGATTTCAGATCTAGTGTTAGGCAACTCACACAAATTAGACTATAGCCCCAGTGAGCAAAAAGAAGAGAAAATGGGTGAGATTTTTTTTTTTTCATCTTTTAACTACACAAAACACTCAGTCCCAGGATTCTTGTACCATTACAGTTGGTGACCTCAGAATTAAAAAAAAAAAAAGAAGTTACTAGATCAGCTCTGGGGATAAAGAAGAAGGGGGATCTAGTGCAAGGCAAAAGTCCTGTCTGAGGTCGGGTGGAGTCACCCCCAAGGAATCCGCGGAGGAAACCAGATCTTGGCCCGAAGTATAAACTTAACATACACTGCACAAACGCTACGAAAAATGACTGGATAAATTATGCAGAGGGATTTCTGGATTTCTTTCAAGTAATTAAGTTTCGATTTCTTGCATTTATTTTAGTTCCAGGAAGCGCAAGGCGCCATGGACTGCAAAAAGTCTTCATTGATTGTTCCAATGCCTTAAGTTTGATTTCGTGATTGGACTTAACTTTGGGAAGAGGTAAACACACCGACCAGGGAAATTCACTACGAGGAAAAATAACAGTTTCATCGGGAAAGTAAACATAGGGGCGCTTGTTGGGCACAGAAGGCGGAGATCTGCCCCTCTCCCCTCTGCACGGCGAGTGGGGAGGAGAGAAACAGGTGTGAATCTGAGTGAGTGTGCGTGAGTGTTAGCACTTGTGTGTTTGCATGCGTGGGTGTCAGCGTGTCTGTGTGTGTGTCCGTGCCTAAGAGTGTGATTCGCGCCCTGGAGCTCTGGGGAGTAAGGAGTTGGAAACGGAGGACTCACTCTTTCCCTCGGGCGGCTGTTAATTTCTTGGCGCCTGTGGTGTTTGCTCCGCAGCTTGGTCGACGCCAGCGCTCGGCCCACTTCGACCTCAGTCAACCTACCCGCCGGAATCGTGAAGGCGTCTAGGAGCTTTGCTAGCATCCAGCGGGCCTGGGGCTGGCGAGTCCCGCGTTCCTTCTTCCCAGTCAGCCTGCTTTATTTGAAATTCAGCTCCGCGCCTTTCCCTCCACCGGGGAAAAGGGAAGCGTTGCTTTCCTTTTCTACCTTGCCTTTTCTCATCCTCTGGTCCCCTGCCTGGCCACTGTCCTCAGTCCAGAATTATCTAGAGAGTCCCACTTGGCGTGTCCGGCCACTACAAGGCCCTGGCCGGGGAGCCAGTCTCTCCCGACCCTCCAAGTGCGCGCTCCCGAGCGCCAACGGCCCTCTTCCATTCGCCCTGCCAGACGTTGTTGGGAGAGCAGGAGTTTGCGAGCCCGAATTTCGATCCAGGAGAGCCTGGGAACGGCCGGATGCAGAGGTTTCCGGAAACTCTTGCTGAGTGCTTGCAGCTGGAGGCGTGGAGAGTTAGGCAGGCAGGCACTGGGCCAGAGTGCGCCCTCGCGCACGGGCGGCGCCTGGGAGCTTTGGGGGAAAGGGGTACTCTTTCCGACCTCTAAGCGGAGGGGACTTGCGACTCAGGGGGGCAGCCAGTGGAGAGAGAAAGTTAGCGACAAACACAAGAGCAGGTGGACTTGCTCGGAAGAAAGGTGTTTGAGCAAAACGCACCCCTGCTCCTCGAAATAGCCCCAGGGCGTAAGAAGTCCAGGCGAGCCCTCCTCCCCGCCCCTCCCGCACTGTGGCTGGGCTCTCTGGGCGCTCCCAGAGGGCTCAATTTCAGGGCTAATTTCCTCCTCCTCTTTTCTTCCTTGGAACAGCGGAGGCCATGGAGGAGTTTGTGCCCTACGCTACAGAGTGCAGAGAGAGCTCAGGGGGTCGGAGTCTATTCAGATCCAGAGCAGATTGACCTTGAGAAGATGGGACGCGGGAGAATCCATCCCTTCTCCCTTTCCTCCCTGAAGCCCTAACAACCCGAGGTCGGGATGGAGATGAAAGGGGTCAGATCACACTTTTAAAAAAATCTTCCTTGTAATCCAACTCAATTCTGTTTGAAATACAGAGAAATCACACTGCCCTTAATGGATTAAAATTTAATAAAACACATTAGGTCCAGTAAAATATGAATGCACTGCTTAAAATTTTAATAGTAAATTAGGTCCCAGATACTGGAGCGGAGACCGTGATTTCCCCTCTCGGGATGGCTGCGGGCTGATTTCGGGGTGGGAGGGGGTGCCTACCGCAGGGACCCCGCTGCCAGGGAGCTTGAGTGGAACCTCAAGCGATTCTTTGCCCGCGGGAGGGAAGTTGGTCACATCTATCGCATCTGGCAGCAATGGGACAGAAGCTATTGTCAAACAAAGAGGCTTGGCGAAAAGAAAGGCGCCCCTCTGGTAGTCACACACATGTGACACCCATGTAGTTGATTCATTTTCTATTTCTCTTCTCACAAGAAAAAGAAAAGAAAATCACTTCTCTGCTTTCAGTTTATTAGGTAGGTCTGAAGGTGTGCATAGGCACCAGGGCAGATAACTGCTTGGACATAAAAGTGTATGTGGAGGTCATATGAAGCAGATTCCAAGGTTGGGCCATTTGCTGCTGTCCCTTGGGTTTATTCTCAACTTTCCTGTTGTTTAGATTGTTTCCGCTACCTGGGGGACTGGAGTCTTACTTCCTCAGAAAGCAACTTCCACACTTGCTGGTGCACTTTGCAACACTGCCTGTGGGCAAAACCAAAATGGGTTTTATTGATAACACCGCAAAAAGCTTGGTACTCTGGACACTTCTGGTAGGAGAGATTTCAAGATTGCAAGTCGTGGTGACGAAGGAAGAATTGCATTTCCCCTCTAATACAACATGATCACTGCTGTTCATTTTCTTATTGGGTGAGAAAAGGAGAAATCTAACTCTCACCTGTTTTTGGGAAAAAACAGTGTGTGTTTTCTAAGAGGATGTGAATGCAGGTAAATAAACTTCTGAATTGCTTTACAACCACATATTAATTTGTCTCACCTTGATAATTAGAATAAAGGGCTCCCCCTTTTTTTGATCTGGAATTAAGAGATACCATTGAAAAATATCAGAAAGATTTTTAAAAGTTGTATTAAATTAATTCAGTGATATATAGATTTTAGACACCAGGAAAATATTCTCTTGGGAGTTGTCCTGCTTAAAATAGTTTTAATCACTAAACTTCATATAAAACAAAGTTTGTCCAGTCATTTCAACAGTGCCCTCTTTATTTCATGAATTTATTATACTATCTTATTTACCATATGAAGTGGTGACAAGTGTTTAGCATTTTGGAGATCAGTTGTCAGTTGCTATTAAAATCAAGATTAATTCATATTAACGATATGCATTTCTCAATACTCCCAGGTGACAACATACATTAAAACAACTATGGCAAGTAATTAAGCTCAATGAAGGGGGAGGGGACAGGGAGAGGTTCAAAACACCCCCAAATATTTGATTTTGCAATCCAAGTTCAGCTGACTGATGTCACAATAATGCTTGGGAAACTCCTCAGGGTTGCTTTTCGCTTTACATCTAATTAGGCACCTAATGAAAGAGAAGAATTTTTCCCCTTGTGATTTTTTTTCTCCTTGATATTCTTATACCTTTATTTAAATACATAAACACATTGTGTATGAGGTGCAATACCCAAAAGTTTCTCCTGTGATTCCCTTAGTGTTATAATCTGGAAGAACTAGGTAGATGCATACCTTTGCCTTCTAGTTATTTTCTTCCTCCACTCTTTTAGACCTTTGGTTCTTACACAGTAAGATAGCGTACACACCAAAAACATTTTAATGGATTTCTTTTAGGTTTTAGAGATGCTGAACACTTTATACTAATTAGATCATCCAAAGCCTCTTGAAGATTAAGCAAATTGGACAACTCTTGTTAATTAGAACATAATTTGAAGTTTGAAATTATATCATTGATGAAGTAGTCTAATTAATATGATGATATGTTAGTGGACCAGTGAGACCCAGCAACTCTGGAGTTTGGCTTGAACCTCTCCACCGTTTGCACAAAAATCCTCCCTCCTATACCGACATTAAAAAAAATTTCTATAGACTTCAGTCTTTCCACGATGACATACAATTTATAGTACACATAAGGCATTAGCTCATAGTACCGCTCAATTTTTTCACTATTATGAAAACTAATAAATTCGTCAAGCTGAATTAAGCATACAAATCAGATGAGGCATAGCAGATTACACAGTGAAGCGCAGTGTCTCTCGAGCCTAAATGAAATTTCAATCTAATAATTCCTTCCTGGCCCAGTCATAATTTGTTTAGAGATGTTGTTCTACTTCTTTCAAAGCGCTATTCGCACTATAATTAAATGATACTCAAGCCTTTAACTTTGATTTATTTCATTTCTCGAAGCTTGAGACAGTGAGAGCTGTACAATGTCACTTTTTTAAAATTTCCTTGAAATTACCCTGGCTGGTGTCGAGGTAGAAATTAAACACCTAAGCATTTACTTGAAACGACCGGCGCAAGCCACACTCATTCATGTCAACACCGTTCTGCAGCCCCGGGTCCACGCTTCTCTGGGCTGCTTCTCGCGAACACTGCTAGTAGGAATTCCCTTCGGCTACTATTTATTCTTGTCCTCCACGTACGGAAGGAGGAAGGCAAGCCTTGGAGTTGCAAGGGGGTTAAGCACCATGGACAGAGCCCGTCGCGCGCCGTTCGCTTCAGCTTTGCTAGACTCCCGAGGACTGAGCTCCAGACTTGAACCTGCTATCCTGACCCGCAGAGGTCATGGGTGAACGAGAGACCCCCTACTTGCCACCGCCGCAGGGCTTCCAGGCGCCAACCACTCGAGGGCCCCCCTTCGCCACGCTCCTTGCCACTCTGTTTTGTCCCAGCGCGCGCCAGAGCCTCTCAGGCCTACCGCCTGCTCTCGCACCTGCTCGCCTTCCCCAGGCACCGCGTGCCTGCACCTGCTCCCAGCCGCCCCCGTCCGGTTCCGGCCACCCGCGGGCTCTAGCGTGCGGGTCTCGGGGCCTTCACCCTCGCCGGCACCCCGCTCCCTCTGCACGCTGCGGGGAGGGGGGGGAGCGGTGACAGCAGTCCCCAACACCGAGAGAAGTAGAAGGAAGGTAGAGTGTGTGCGCGCGCGTGTCTTGTTGTAGGAGAGTGCCTGCTTCTTTCACAACTGGAACTAAGAGTGTGTGTCCACTTCTAATAAAAGTGGTCCGCTCTGGGACAAAAGTGCGAGCAAAGTGTTGGCTAAAAATAGGCTTTCTCTGCACGAAGCGGCTGTGGAAATGAAGATAAGTGGGGCTCGTGCCAGCCCCCGAGGGCGTGTGTGTGTGTGTGTGTGTGTTCGGGTGGGGAGGACTTTTTGCAGCACATGCGCTCTGTGATCTCTGGCCCTGCCTCTCGTCAGTCGCCCCTTCCTTCTTTGATTGTGGCTAATGAAGGATAATAAATCCAGTAGCAGGGTTTGCCAGTGGATCCGCCCAAGACCTAACTCACACTGAACTGGAGACAGGGAGGAGGAGAAGGAAGATCCGGAGGAAGAGAAAAGAGGGCGGAGAGGAGTGTCTGTCGGTGGTGGTGTTGGGGGGAGTACCCGGGGGCCCGGCGGGCACCGGGTGGGGGGGAGTCGCATGCGCATAGGCGACGGGAGCCGCTCTTCCGCCGTCCAATCCGCTGAGAGCAGTGAAAAACCCAGTGTCAGAGAAAGCCCTGCAGCCCTGTCGACCCCAGGTCCCTTCGGCACCAGGCACTCGCCGGGCCGAGGGGGCGCAGAGCCAGGCGCCAACCACTGCGCTACCAGCCGGAAGCGCAGAGCAGCACGGAGCATCGAGGTCCGCGGCAGGGTCCGCGTTCTCCACACTGTGGTCGCGAGCCAAGGATCGGGGTCACCCGAGCGTCAGGGAGGGTAGGACGAGTTGGGGGCGGAGGCCTGCAACTTAGCAGTAAGCAGGAGGCGGGGGAGGCAGCCAGGTAAGAGGCTTTCGTTATAGTCTAGGCAAAAACTCAGCCGAGGTCGCTTTGGCCCGCAACTTTATTTAGTAGTTTCTTTTCCCGGCGAGGCGCATACTGGGCTCAGGAAGCCGGAGGGGCTGGAGGTCGGCTCTTAGGTAGGAACCGCCCAGCGACTGGAGCGCAGACCCGGCCACCCGGCAGAGTTGAGCTGGGGGCGGCTGTGAGTGCTGTGGGGCGCGGGGAAGGCGCGGCGGCGTCAGCGCGCGGGCGGGGGCAGGAAGGGGAGGCGGCGGGCGCGGGGAGGGGAGCGGCGGGGGGAGCGGGAGGGGGGTGTCAGGAGAGCAGAAAGGACCAAAGCCTGGAGGAAGCCAAGAGGGAGCCGGGGCGACGCTAGAATCCGAGCTGGAGAAACCGGCGCTTCCAGGCAGGGGCGGGCGGAGGCGCGCGGGAGGGAGGGAGGGCGGAGTGTGCGGGGGCAGGCGCGGGGAGAGGGGAGTATAACTCTGCGGCCGCGAAACAGCGGGGGCAGTTTCGGGCGCCCAGGTTCTGCAGCCAGCGCCAAGCGAAGCCCAGCATCCGCTCAGACTGACCTCAGTAGCCAGCGGTGGAGCGCGTAGCCGGGGCCAGGCGCGCAGAGCCCGGAGCGGCGGCGAGTGAGCACAACTTTGCATCGCCCTTCCCCGCTTCGGCTCTCGCCCAGCACCCTCGGGAGGGTCCCAGCAGCCGGGGCCAGTGCGTGCGCCTCGGACCGGCGCCCGAGCGGGCGGGGAAGATGATGATGATGTCCTTGAACAGCAAGCAGGCGTTCAGCATGCCGCACGGCGGCGGCCTGCACGTGGAGCCCAAGTACTCGGCCTTGCACAGTGCCTCGCCCGGGTCCTCGGCACCCGCGGCGCCCTCCGCCAGCTCTCCCAGCAGCTCGAGCACTGCCGGCGGCGGCGGCGGGAGTGGCGGGGGCGGTGGAGGCCGGAGCAGCAGCTCCAGTAGCAGTGGCAGCAGCGGCGGCAGCGGCGGGGGCTCCGAGGCGATGCGGAGAGCGTGTCTTCCAACCCCACCGGTGCGTATTTCTGCATAATCACCGCTTAAAGGCACATTTTGACAGCCCCCTTTATCTGCTTGATGTTTTTTTCATGTCTGCACAGCAAATCACCCCACACCTCCAACCAATTTTCCCCCCTCTCTCTCGCTTATGTATTCAGCGGGTCTTTCCTTTCATATTAATTTTTATGACCTGGAATGTTGCCTGTGCGCGTGTTGTGTTGCGTTGTGTTTGCAGGTTCACTTTCCTCCTCCTCGTGCACTCTTGGCTTGTCTCCGTGGCTTCCCTCCTCTCCTCCTCACCCGCTAGTTTCAGGATTGTTATCATCATCATTACTATTATTATTTTAACGTCCTGGGAATGTTGTAGGCGCGGCGGCGGTGCGGAGCGCTGGGCCGGAGCTTCCGGAGAGAGTGCGCACAATTCCCTGCTGAGAGTAATGTGTGCCTTTTACTTGCAATTGCAGAGCAATATATTCGGCGGGCTGGATGAGAGTCTGCTGGCCCGCGCCGAGGCTCTGGCGGCGGTGGACATCGTCTCCCAGAGCAAGAGCCACCACCACCCGCCGCACCACAGCCCCTTCAAGCCGGACGCCACCTACCACACCATGAACACCATCCCCTGCACTTCGGCTGCCTCCTCCTCGTCCGTGCCCATCTCGCACCCGTCCGCGCTGGCGGGCACGCACCACCACCACCATCATCACCACCACCACCACCATCAGCCGCACCAGGCGCTGGAGGGCGAGCTCCTGGAGCACCTGAGCCCCGGCCTGGCGCTGGGGGCCATGGCGGGCCCCGACGGCGCCGTGGTGTCCACTCCCGCTCACGCGCCGCACATGGCCACCATGAACCCCATGCACCAAGCTGCTCTCAGCATGGCCCACGCGCACGGGCTGCCCTCGCACATGGGCTGCATGAGCGACGTGGACGCCGACCCCCGGGACCTGGAGGCGTTCGCCGAGCGCTTCAAGCAGCGACGCATCAAGCTGGGGGTGACCCAGGCCGATGTGGGCTCCGCGCTGGCCAACCTCAAGATCCCCGGCGTGGGCTCGCTCAGCCAGAGCACCATCTGCAGGTTCGAGTCCCTCACTTTGTCTCACAACAATATGATCGCGCTCAAACCCATCCTGCAAGCGTGGCTAGAGGAGGCGGAGAAGTCTCACCGCGAGAAGCTCACCAAGCCCGAGCTCTTCAACGGCGCGGAGAAGAAGCGCAAGCGCACGTCCATCGCGGCGCCAGAGAAGCGGTCGCTGGAAGCCTACTTCGCCATCCAGCCGCGGCCCTCCTCCGAAAAGATCGCCGCGATCGCCGAGAAGCTGGACCTTAAGAAAAACGTGGTGCGCGTCTGGTTCTGCAACCAGAGGCAGAAACAGAAAAGAATGAAATACTCCGCTGGCATTTAGGAGACCCACTTTAGGCCTCTCCAGGGACAGGCCCCCTCCTCATCTCTCCCCCACCCCACCCCTCTTGCCTTTTTTCTTTCCATTTTTTCGCGACCTGAAAACAATTCCAGTAAATGTGAATCCAGAGAAAGCGAGGATTGGAGAGCGAGCGAACGCGTGAGCTACTGAGCCCAAGCCCGGTGAGAATGTGAAACGATTTCTCAAAGGAAAGAAAAACAAAAGAAGGGGTTTGTCAAGTTGTAGCAAAGTTGTCCCTTTCGACCCCACCCACTGGGAAAAGGCACCTCGGCCTCTTCAGAGGAAGTCTGGAGCTGGCTCTTTGCAGGAAGGCAGACGAGACAGCCTTTTAAAAGGCCCCCAGAATGATCAAGTAAGATTTGTTTTTATTCCTAAAGACGTCACCCTTGTTCAAGTTTAAAAGTACACTTTGCAGCTATTTTTCAGAAATAGAAATTGATTCAGGACTGAAACTTTAAACTAGAGTTAATGCTTAATGTGATAGAGACATCTCTAAAGTATTTTGAATTAAAAAAAAAGATGGCAGATTTTCTGCATTTACACTGTATATTATATATATATATTTTTATTGTGGTTCTTACCCCCTTCTTCCTTCTCTGAAGTGTTAATGCTTAAGAAAGGCATTGCGCCTGCTGTGTTCACTGATCTTGAAAGCTATTATTAGATTATTGCTGAACAACCCTCTGTAAATTATTAATTTATCTCTCTAGCAACTTAATTTGTGCACATTCTAATTAATTAAACTTCTTTAGTCTTAACAAACGGGGGGGGAGTATAGCTAGTGAAGTTAAAATTTTTTTATGTTTAATGAGTTTACGGAATTTATACAGTTTTCCTCTTATACTGTGTTCCTTTTGGCCCATTTGTATATTCTCACTTTGAATGAAGGTTGTTTTTTTCTTTGTTTTCACTGGTAGTGTTCTGATTTGTGAGTCAATACTCAGTAATGGATGTCTTAACCGTATAGACCTGATTCACTGTCCAAAGTATTCTTTACTTTGTTACATATTTAATGGGGATTCCCACACTGTCCCTGCGACACATGCACTCTCACTCACTCTTACACACACACACACACACACACACACACACCTCTAATGGGAGAGAGGTCAAGCAGTTGGAAGCATGAATATGATGCATCATTTCTAGCTTTAGGTGCGTTTGTCACTTGGTGTTTGCCCTTCCAGATTTCACCAAGGTATTTCAGTCTTCTAGTTTTCAATTGCTTTGTGGACTACATTTTAACATTTACAAGAATCCTTCCTCCTTCCATTTTTCCTTTTGGAGGTTTGTTTGTAGAAAAACTAATTTGAACTATAAGAAAGACAGTGCACTGCTTGTAAATTCACATTGTTTGGTAGAATTCTTTTGGAACAACAAAAAGAATTAGGTACATGATGACTGGTACCTATTGTAAATATTTCATTCAAAATGATGCACATATAGATATATTCTTACAAATTTTGCTGTATTGCTGTTCCATTTAAGGCTCTCTGAAGTCTTGAATTCTGTATATGACCTGGTTTCTTGTTTTTGTTACTAGATGGTTTATTTACTATGGTAATGTACTAAGTTATTTTTGGTGTTGTTTGATTGTCTTTCATTGAAGAGATGATTTTAACATTTTATTGGCAAAGTATGCTGCTTTTTTTTCATTAAAATATGCTATTAAAATTAAATGGCTTTTAAAATGTGATGTTGTTTTAAATCATTTACATGGGAATTATTTTGATGAGGGATTTTTTAAAAGCAGAAACACATTTTGATGGTTTATTACGCAGTGATTGTTGCCAAAGTTTGACTTGGGTTTAGTGGAGGGTGTTTCTCTAGGAAAGTAGAAAACAACAGGCTTTATAGTAGCCCAGCTCTTCTCACAGGTGCTTTGCTTTTCTCGCAGATGAGGTCACAACATTGGCTCCAATACCTCACTTGGAGTTCTTTTTCCAGATCGGCAAAATTCTGGGAAGAGAATCTTTGTGAGCAGAGATATTGCATAGGTAAAAAGAAGAAGGGATCTCGGTTCAGCTTTTAGCAGCACTGGGAGACTGGGTGTGGAAAATATTAAGGCCTGTTTGGGGGAGTGGGACACCCTGGTTGAGGCCTAGGGGAGAGCCAACTATACTTCTCGGCTCAGTCACCACTCCTAAGCAGTGCACCACAGTCAGAGCAGGAAGCACCTAGGTTACTGGGTTATGAAGTAAAGCATCTCTCTCTCTTTCTCCATGGCCTTTAAGGAAACTCACATTCTGCAAGAGGCAGAGTGGGGCTGAAGGAGAAATTTTAGGTGGTTAGGGATGAAAAATTTTGCCCCCTTTCTATGATTCATCCCGACACCAAATCTGGTGAAAGTTGTCTACTAGTGGTTTGGCACAAAAAAATTCTGCCCATCTGATATATCAACTTTTCTTTTTCTGATCCTAGTTTCAAGAAACCTCCTCACCAATTTTAATAATTTTCAGGCTTCTTACAACAGTTGGGAAACTGTTTAAGTTTCTAAAGTCTTTTTTCCAGGAAAGCTCTGGTTTAGATATTTATACTATTTCTGTGAAATTAGTATGATTAAAATATCATATTAATTATAGGTCCAACAAGAAGGAGGGAACAGGCCATCCTATATGGGTAATTCTGCTAACCTGAGAAGTTACCCCTCTAAGGTGGAACTGTCTTGGAATATTTCTTATTTTGAGGATGAGGTTACAAAATATCCCATGTGCCAATGAAAATTGTTTTAGTGGCTCAAGTTGGAACTAAATATGGTTGGAAAATTGATTATGACTCTCAGAAGTAACAGAAAGAGTTGTGAAAGTTGGAAGGATAATGGGTGAAAAGGACTTTTTTCTTTATAACTGAAATAAAAAAGATAACCAAAAGAACAAAATTCATATGTCCATTTAGAAACAACGAGATACACTGCAAAGATATCTAAGGAAATAGAGAAAGTTGTGGGATCCAAAAGAAAAAATTGTAATCCCATATATAGTGATATTGATGGTTTGATTTTATTTCTGTGTTTTGAAGGCTGAATACCCCATTTCTCCACTTTACCACCTATTATTAGATTCAGTCTTACTGAAAGTCTTTTCAGCCTACCTTCAATCTCACTGTAATGGGCACTGATTTCAGCACCACGGATAGCAACCACATGACTCATTCTTGCTCCAACACGTTTGACTGTACAATTCCAGCCAGTAGGAGAACTTTCTGCTTGCTTACTTTTTCTTGAGTGGAGAAAATGAATTAAGTGGCTTGAATATATAGCAAACCAGACTTCTGATCTAGGATAAAAATTATCTTCAATAAATAACACCTCCTTCTTCCTATATATAGCTGTTATCTAGCGTGTGTTAGGAGAAAGGTGAGTCAGTTATTCTTTCTACAAATATAACATTTTTAAATGAAGAGAGAAATCTTGTAAAATAGTAGAAACTGAGAAATATAATGGATAGAAATAACACAGGTGTTCTTTTTAGTGCATTTTGAAATGTAGCTTCCATGTTGCATGTTTGTCCTAAGTTTTTGTAAGTGAGGTGACAGAAAAGCAACTATCCATTTACTTCAACAGTTGAGTGAAGGCCTATATTTACTCCTTCATTCATCAAGTGTTCTTTGTCTCCTGTGTTCCTGGACTTTTACAACTATCACATTTTAAGTTCATCTTCTTTATGTTATTACAAGGATTAAAAAAAACTTTCTTGCCTACAAAATGGAAATTTTATCCATTATTTAAGCCTGTTTAAATATGCTTATTTTATGAAAAAGTGGAATTTTTAAAAGAAATGCATTCTTTAAGTTTTCTATTAATAATAGTTACAGAGAAATACCAAAACAAAGGCATTTGAAAAGAAGAGGCTTGGTCTTAAAGACAAATTAAAGGTAAGACAAGAAGGTACTGTGTACAAATTGTTGAGAAATAGCCATTTGATATTGGCTTTCAAAATACTCAGATGGATAAATAGCAGATTGTGCCTGATGATCCTTGTCATATTAATCAAATCTATTGGCATTCATGACTCATTTCCTAATTTTTTCTCCTAAGGTACACAATGACTACTTTATTGGAAAAAGATACTTTATGAATTGACTTAGTCACATATCTAGCCTTCCTCAATCTGATGTTTCAGAACTACATAGTTTATTTTCTTTTAACTTCTTTAATGGCAAATGATCCCATTTTTATGGTGTAATCATTTAAGTCTAAAATGGAAAGGAGTGACTCCTTAAAGTGGAAAGGAGAATAGCAAAGATTGTTAAGGCCTGGTTAATAGCTAAGTACAATCTATACCAATTGGATAATACTATTATCCAGAAAGAATGCAACTTTCTTTTGATATTTGACATTAAATCAGTTGGTCAATGCTTTATAGATTGAGTTTCATTGACACACAGCTTGGGGAAATATAATGGAAATATGAAAAGTAAATGAAGTAATTGGGCGTTCTGTTCAAAGGAACCCTATCCTAACTTCTAGAAAATGTATTTTAAAAATAAATAACAATATATAACTGAGTCTTTTACTATCAAGGAGAGATTCTAGATCTTCATTTTTGCCAAGAGAACTGGAATTTGGGGGGGGGTGTAAAATACTTTATTTTAAACTTTAAATGAATCAATTCAATTTCATCTGTTGGGGCAGCTCTTTAAGAGTTGGTGGAAAAGGCAATAAACAATTTGCTTGATCTTAAAAGGCTTATTATTCAGAGAATGAAGCTCAATTTTTTCTAAGCAAGCTATGACAGCAAGTTTAGAAATTCATCCTTTCAATTGTTTGGCAACAACAATTTATATTTCTAGGTTAACGGTCTACATTAGAACTTAAAACTGAGCTTTACTTTTCATTTGATCTTAAGAAGAGGGCCTGCAACAGAAGGAAAAAAAAAGAAGTTCGATTGGTATCCTGGTAGGACAAAAAGGAAGACAAAGGTTCCTGGATAGTTATGATGATAGAAATGTTTCTGAAATCTACATTTGTCAGGAGACAGATT